TCTCAGGGATATCAGGACCATAGAGCCAGTTCTGTCAGGCCAGGAGGGGACAGGATTTTACTCAATCCTGTTCCTGGTTCCCCAAAATTCTGGAAGGTAGAGGGGGATCTTAGATCTAAAAAGGTTAAACTATCACATAACTTACCGGAGATTCAAGATGCAGTCCCTACAGTCTATCCTGGGCTGCATCAGGCCGGGAGACATCTTGACATCCAGAGATCTCAAAGAGGCCTACCTCCACGTACCTATTCACAAAGCCCACCATCGTTACCTCAGGTTTGCTTATGCCAGCTGCTATTACCAGTATCGGGCCCTGCCGTTCGGCCTGTCCTCGGCCCCCAGGACATTTACAAAGATCCTTGCGGCTCTAGCGGCTTTCCTCAGATCCCATCCAGTAAGGTTACACTGTTACCTGGATGATGTCCTCATCCAGTCATCATCACCCCAGCAGGCGATCCGGGATCTGGAGTACACCATGCAGGTGCTTCAAGTTCACGGCTTTTCCATAAACTTGGAGAAGAATCATCTTCAACCAATGACCAGCTACAACATCTAGGAGCCATCATCGACACCGTCTCCTGCCAGTTCTTCCTATTGCCGGAGCAAGTAGCGAGCCTCAGGGAAAGAGTCGCACAGGTGCAACGGTCTCCCCAGGCCAAGATTGTTCAACTTTCACAGCTCCTAGGCAAGATGATCTCATGCCTGTCCATAGTTCCATGGGCAAGACTCCATTCTCGTCCCCTCCAGTGGCTCCTGCTCCCTTATCAAAGGGCCAACGAAAGCAGCTCGACGAGACTCATTCCGATCTCCATGAAGGTACGTCGATCGCTCAGGTGGTGGATGTCCCCGGCTCTGGCGAAGGGCTCCCTCTGGCGAAAGGCTCCCTCTGGCGAAGGGCTCCCTGTTCAGGGAGATGGTGAGACACGTCTCACCATCACAACGGACATAAGCCTGTTCGGTTGGGGGGCCCATTTCCACAATTAACTTGCTCAGGGCAGATGGTGTCCCAACTGAGGCTGCTCACAGCATCAATTGGCTGGAGCTGAGAGCAGTCCGACTAGCCCTTCTTCAATTCCAGACCGGCATCCATGTGAGGGTCTTGATGGACAACATCGTGATGAAGGCGCACATCAACCGCCAGGGGGGCACGTGCTCCAGATCTCTGATGTCGGAGACCGACATCCTAGGTCGGTGGGCGGAGAAGCACCTCTTGTCCGTAAAGGCGGAGCACATTTCTGGCACGACCAACACCCAGGCAGACTGGTTAAGCAGGGCCACGGTCAACCACTCGGAGTGGCGACTGCATCTGCATCTGTTCCAGCGCATGTCCCAGAAGTTCGGTTGTCCGCAGGTAGACCTGTTCGCCACCGCAGCCAACTCACACCTTTCCAGGTTTTTCACAAGGTTTCACAACCCGCGTGCAGAGGGAGTCAATGTATTGCACTCCCCTTGGCTGAGGGGACTGCTCTACGCGTTCCTGCTGTTACCACTCCTTCCCAGAGTCATCTGGAAGATCCTGTCGGAGGTGGCAGAGGTACTGCTGGTGGCACCGTTCTGGCCCAGGAGAACCTGGTTTGCAGACCTGGAGAGCCTCTCCGTTGAACCCCCTTGGTGGAGCCCTAGTGGCTACAGCTAGCCATCTGGCACTGGAGAGGGATCTCCTGAGCAGGGGCAGCCTTTCAACCAAGGTGATCTGTACCATCCAGGCATCCCTCCATCTATGGATCTACAACACTACCAGGAGGGCCTTCATCGGCTGGTGTTCTGTCCGCGGCGTTTTGGCTTCCTCAGCTTCGGTTCCTGGACTTCCTACAAGACGGCCTTGACAAGAGCCTGGCGCCTAACACTCTTCGCTGTCAGGTGACAGCACTTTCTACCATCCTGACTCCTGACGGACAGTCTTCACTCAGTTGTCATCCCACCATCCACAGTTTTCTCAGGGGGGCTGCTAACCTGAGCCCTCCAGCGGTTCACAGATATCCAACTTGGGACCTTACCGTAGTCTTACGTGCTCTCATCGAGCCCCCATTTGAACCTCTCCGGACAGCCAGCATGAAGCATTTGACATTTAAGACCGCCTTTCTAATTGCCATCACTTCTGCAAGGTGTATTTCTGAGGACTACCCTGTCTGTCCGTGAGGACTTGTGCCTGATTCAACAGGACAGGGTAGTCCTCAGAA